TTCGAGCGTTAAAGCCTTTATAATTTATATAGCTTTTTATTGCAAGATTTTTTTTTTTATTATTCTCACTTTCTTTTTGATATTTTAATGTGTTATTTATAATAAGTATTATAGTCGTGAAATTAAATTCAGCTTGACAATTTATTTATTTAGCTTTTTAAACTTTTTAATTGGTCATTCAGATGATTCTCTTTTGAAAGTGTCAAGCTTAAATTCGAAAAATACCCAGTCGTCAATTAAATAAGAATTAACTGTAATTCAAAGTCTAAATATAATTTGACTGTATGACAGGAAATCAAAGAAATGCGAATATGTAATTATATTGGTGAAAATATAACCATGTAACGAGAGTACAAAAAAAAAAAAAGGCGAACTCACTCATTATGTACACGCAATCTGGCATTCCGTGTGTCGAACGTATAAAGAGCGCCTCTTAAAAGTGTGTTCAGTATGGACGAAAAATCTGCTTGATAAAATGGACTTACCTGAAACAAAGGAAAAAAAAAAAAAACATTTAAAAATATTATTGAAATATATATGTATATATCTATTTATTATATATGTATTCTTTCCTTAATACGACTTCCTCGATTGTTAATAAAATAAAAAAATTATAATTAATGTCAATAGTTCAATGCAGATATATTGCACCGTGGTTTATGAACGAAATTCCTACGTCTCACCTACGAGGGAACTTAATGAAAGAAAGCATCAACTCTATGCGGACGTAGCACACGCCTTTTCGTTATTTCTCATAATCGCCCACGCTTGGCCGCTCGCCAGCCAAGAGACCCTGGTTTCCCGAGAATCGAAAATAATCACGTCTTCCTCCTCCGCCTTTTCCTCTTCCTTTCGTACGCGTGAATCGTCCGAGGAAAGCGGGAAAGCTAATTTAATTAACGATCCATTTCGCCACTCTCTATCTTCGAATTATTTTACGCCTTTGAAATAATTAAATTTACGACGAAAGAATACGATTCTCCTGTGAACGACGATAGACGATTTTAAGAAGTGACAGAACTGATCGTGAAAATGATTGGATCACGGGTTTACTTTGGAATTAGTAAACCGAGTCAAATTGATTGATTCAATTTTTTGTATTTGCAATTGAATTACATAATTTCGAAATTAAAATATTCATCCTGTTCAAGATAAATATACGTCTGAATATTTTTTAGAATTAATAAGTGTGTGAACATATATGATTTATAGTCAGATATTACCCTTCTCTATTAGTTTTTTTTTTTTTTCTAATATGTGATAATAGTCAACAGGAAATGAAACAGGAAAAGAAAAAACGAAGATCTTATCGTACCGTGAAACGTATCGCAATATACGATCATAAATGATTATCTAATAAAAAACGTAAGAGGGATAAAAACGGTCAATTACATGAAACCATAATTAACATGCTAATGAATCGAACTTAATATAGTATATTTATTTTGATACAAAATATCAATATATTCATATAAGATATGTTTGCAGAGTCGAGTCTAAAGCCTAAAATAAACCTAACGGTTAATATACAAAAATATCATTTAAGACGTATTTATTAAGCAATTTAAATTTGCATTACGATGAGACGAAACAAAATGATATCGATCAAAGATCATATCAATATCATCTTAATCTTTAATTTCTATAAGAACAATTACAACTGAAATGATAAATCACTAAATAATCGTTCTTGTTATACTGTAAAGTATACCACAATAATTCATAAACTCACTTAATCTAATTAAGATGATAAATTTCATTCCAAACAAGCTTGTCTATCAGTCGATCTCTAAAAATTTTCCATCGACGACACCAACTAAATTTGGTGCGCACAATGTATCTGCACATGTATCAACAGACGTGCGCCGCGATGCAAATTTGCATCTGGTTGCGCAACCGCGCTCTCGGACATGGTCGCAAAAATACAGCCATACTATATCGATCGATGTGTAATCGATGAATCTAATAATGGCCTGAGCCGCGATTATTCAAGATCGACGCCGTGTGTAGCACGCGGTCAGAATACACTCGTGAAATCAACGCGGTTGAGAAAAGATATATATTCCCCTTTACAAACTGGCGAAACGTTTCGTTGGTGGTAGGCGGCCGAGCGTGGGTCTCGGTGGCCTCTCTACCGCGATTTAAATATTTAACTCCGTTTAAACGTGAGCGAGAGCCAACCGTTACTCGCGCGAGCGATAATTTTCATCCGCGGGTAAACTCGCTTGGGAAAATCGACCGACCGCGTGAATCATCCTCCCACCTGATTTCCAACCTATCTGATGAGAATCAGTGGGAAAATCTCATTGGCACTCTTGGTTTTGCATTTGTTAGGTTAGGTAATACTAGTTCTCTGCCTATTTAATTGGAATCATTGGATTTCTTATTTTTTTATTCATCTAGTGATTAGATAATCATTTACTTTGTTATTATTATATTATCGTTACGAGCGGTAACAGACAAAGTGCGCGAAGCCAAATTTTACGTTCCATGGCCTACTGGCAGTGAATTAAGAAGTAGGAAAAGAAGATCACATTTCCAATTTACCGACGGTAACGAAGAGAATCAAGAGTCATACCTCGTAACTCGAAAAGCAAAGATGAAAATACACAGATACGTTGCAAACAACACTGAATTAATATAAATAAAGATGTTACATTCGAAGATGAATTTTACGACTGAAAATAATCGTGTTATTATTTATTATGTATATTACGTATATTTAGTAATGAAAATTGTGACGTGAATCGTCACGTGACTCGAAAATTCGGGACAACTCGGAAAAATTCGGATAAGATCGGTTGGAACCTCGAAATACATGGTTGATGATTTCGTGTCAATTCGGCAATAGTTGAATGCGATCCAATAATCTGTAATATTGATTTTATTATAAAGTAAGTGATGAAAAATTTAGAAAACAAATTAAATCATTTTTATGTAACATTATATTAATTTTAATTCATAATTTATTTTTCTGGAAATATTTTACAGATTAAATTTTTCAATATTTCGTCTCTAAAATAACCTATATCATTTAAAGTGAGTTAAGAAAATTTACATTAAGATTCAATATACAATTAGAAGTAATTTTGTTCGGATAGAATAATGGAACAAAATATACATTTAAACTTTGCAGAGATTATCTAACGGAAGAAGACTAGCAATTGTCACAAAGTATAATTCATCTACCCACAATTACTTGAGTTTAAATGGATTGTTCTCTCGAGGGATGAATTATGTTCCTCATTAATACGCCTGTTGAAAAGATTGTATAAAATCAAGTTGAGAAGGTAAAGTACTAAAATATTTTTTTCTCGAAATCTTTTAAAAAATAAGATCTTATAAAACAAGTACAAATAATGTCTTCATTTACACATCTCTAATATATATTATAATATGTTTATACGATAAAGTTTAACTAGTTTGGCGTTTATAACAAGAATAAATTATTAATTCTTCCTATTTAAAACAACAAGGAATCGCAGCAGTAGCTTTGATCCGAAGCTTGTACATCTAATATCGCATATATCTTAAATTTCAAGCTTTCCATTGTCGATAATTGCTGATGTATTATTCATTTGTTCCAATCTCACGCCGGTATTAACGAGCGAACTATCGACAAAGTGGGCATTAAATATTTAAAGCTTTTCAACTTTAACAAAATATAAAAGTTATAAATTATTACAAGATTTTACTTTTTATTTTAGACCATGAGATAAAATGAACAATAATTCTGTTGCAAGATTTGCAATCACAATGATACAATTTTATAATTAAATATGATCTATTAAAATGACAACTCATTAATTTTAATAAAAAAAAAATAAAAGATAAAAATTTTTAAAGTTAATCTAAAATACATTTTTACAAAAAAAATATATATATATATATATATATTTTTTGCAAGATAAGCGAAATAAGATAAATTTGTCTGTAAATTTTAACGAACGATTTTCAATATCCTTGCAATTGATCTCGAACAGTTTAAAATTAATGCGTGCTAACAACCCTGAGCCCTACTACCACTAAAATTTGTAATTTTGCCAATAGCTTACGTGACAGCTTAGACTTCTTCGAATCAATAGACGCCTTGAAACGTTCTGTCCTTTGAGCTATTTTAAATAAACAATTCTATATTTTGCATTCATTTCCTATAAAGTATTTTTCCATTCTATGCAAAATTTTTCCTATTATTTTCGTCATTTCATAATTAAAAAAAAAAAAAATTTTCCAATTTTCGAAATTTCCAGATACAATACAAATTGAATTGAAAATTTCTCTCTATATATTATCATTCTCGTCAGAATAATTAGAGACAGATTATTTTAAGACGAATTGAAAATTTTCCCTCTTTTATCCTCGAGATTTCGAAACGAGAAACGTAGACGGCTTCGTTAGCCATCGGAAGCTGAGTCGAGGGCCGGAAACGAGATAATCGAAATTGCACGCGCGCCAAGAACCTCTCGCATCGGGACTTTGCGTAGAAAGCGAAATGCGCTCGAATCTCGACGCATCCGGTCCCGAGCCACTTGCCAAAATCCCCACCGTTGTGGAAACGGTTCATTCATGACTCGTCCCGTGCAGGTGTGCTCGTTTATTAAGTGACCAGGGAAGGGGAAAACGTGCAAAAATATCAGCCTTTGATCCTAATAAAATCTCGATAAAAGGAAAATGCAATCCACCGTTCTTCTTCTTATTATTTTCTACCAACTTGGTCCTTGATCCCCGCGCACATTTTATTGTACATTATTCATCACGAAAATAAATAAATAAAAAAAAGAAAAATAAATTATATCATCCGTTAAAATACTATAAACAAACTAATAAGCATATAAGATTGTGAATAATTAATATCAATTTCGGTTGATGATTCCAGGTGTTCACACTTTATAAATACAAACTTTTAATTAGCTCTCGTGAATAAAAAAAAAAAAAAAAAGAAACCGCCAAGAACAAGATCAAGAAAAAGGATGCGGAACAGAAATACACGCAGGTTAAAAAGGGACGACGAGCGGTAATGCGCGGCTTCGCTATTCCAAAACCTACCATTCCCCCCCTCCCCAAAAAAAAAAACAAAAAAACGTTCTCGAGGCTTTCCTTTCCCGCCTCTCTAAAGAGGGGCGAAAAAGATCAGAGGCAGAGGTCGTGGTCGAGTTCCGAGGAAAGATTCGAAGGCGGGTAAGAGTCGATGGGCGTGCTTCGACCATTTTCTTCGCGTGAAACTGCACGAACGGCCGCAAACCGTCTCGAGGCTCTCTCTCTCTCTCTTTCTCTCTTTCTCTCACTCTCGAGGAGCACTCGACTATTTTAACCGTGAAATAACTCAGTCGAGGAGGGTTCGGTCGTGGAGGGAGGGGAGGGGAGGGGAGGAGGAGAGGAGCGGGGGGAAGGGAGTGGAAAAAGGAAGAAAAAGGGGGATCGTGGGGACGGTGAGGGGAGGGGTGTGGCATGATATGTGGGTCCTAAAGATAGAGCACCCGAAACAACCATAAACCTTTTTATTCCACTTGCCTCGGCCCCGACGATCCTTCTATCTGTCTCTCGTTCGCCGCTTAAGTGTACACGTGGGTTACACTTCTTTTTTTTTTTTTTTTTTTTCAATTTCTTAATTTAAGAAGTAATTTTTTTTAACAGAGATGGAAATAAAGTGGACAAAGCGTTGCTTTTTTTTAGATTCACTCGATGCTCTTTTATTTTTTTTTTTGCGCAGGGGAAAAATTTAAAGGTGTACGTGCAAATGTATGTAGAAAGCGATTGAAGCATTGATAATTGGGAAGTTGGAAACGGTGTTTCTGTCTGGATATCCGTGGTGACGAAAAAAAGAATTTAAAAATTTAATCAAGCTTTTCTCAATTCAAAAAAAAGATCTGCGACGATTTATAAAAATATGTAAATAATATTCTGATAATTAAAATATCAACAAATGGATAGATTTTGTGGATAATCGGGAACTCCTCGTGTTTCTCTTTTCCTTCTGAATCATTTTTATTTTTAATAGTATTCGAGGATAAGAGACAAAATAGAGGTAATTACGGACTGTTTTAACCTGTTAACTGGGTCGCTTCTCAAGTGGAAAATCCCTTTTTAACGAATGCATTAAAGAATGATAAAGAAGGATTGATCCGTGTTGGCCGCCGCAGATTCGTGAATGTATTTTTAATTTGGGTATAACGACACGATGAGAGGATTCGACGAGAGGATTCTCCGAGATATTGAATCGGTGAGTTTATAACGCGACCGATTTGCATCGGTTTATAGATTCGTTAACATTTTAAATTACCTTTTCGTTTTTACAATAAAGTAACTGAAGTAGAAGAAAATTTAGAGTAGAATGAAATCTAGATATGAATAGCACAGTTTACTTTCAAAAAAAAAATAAATAAGAAAGATAAATAGATAAGAAGTAATATAAATTTCAATTCAAAATTAAAATTAAAATTCAAAATAAATAATAATAAATGAGAAAAATGTTTTTTTCTCGTAGTAAAATTTCCAAAATGAAAATTGAATCGTGAAATTAATTTGCATTTTATTGAACGAGCATAATATAAAATGAGGTTTCCAACTCGAGAGAAACGTATCTGGTGTGACGGATAATGATGAAAAAAGGTGAAAAAGTGTAAAAAAAAAAAGAAGAGAAGAGAAGAAAAGGGAAAAAAAAAAAAAAAAAATACCTCTTTTCAGAAACAGAATACATACCCGCATCGTATCAAAAGACTGAAATAGCCAAGAGAAAAGATTATATATAGACTAAAATAACCGAGAGAAAAGATTATATAGTTTCAAAGAAAGATTCGTGTACAAAAGAGCATAAAATAAAAGCCATTAGCAACAGCTCGCTAAAATTACGAGATAAAAATCCATGCCCACGTAACTCATTGTTGCTTTCTTCTAAAAAGAAACAAGAACAATAAGATTTCACCTCCGATAACCGACCTATTTCCACGTTTGAAATTAATGATTCTATACCTGCATTATGAACACAACCATTTCGCGGTTATGGAATGGACCATGTTTCAGAGGTTAAGTAAGAAAAATGTCACTGGATTATGCTTCTCTCTTCTTTTGCGGAATTAACGACGCATCAACGTCGTTAACAATTTACTTAAAACTTGTTATTAGTTTTGTTTTTATTAAACGGATTTCAATCATCGTAAATTTGATGATTCTTTCGAGAAATTGGATAATTTTCTATTTTTTCTTTCTTTTCTTTTTTCTTTTTCGTAATAATAATATCTTGTACGAGATAACAACTGTAATTCTTCCAATTGAGCACTAAACTTTTAAAAGTATTAAATTTTACTTTTCAACGTTTCCTCGTCGATTCTTCTATTTCGAATTGGTGTCGAGCAATGAATTAAATTTCAACCTCTTTTCAGAAACAGAATACATACCCGCATCGTATCAAAAGACTGAAATAGCCAAGAGAAAAGATTATATATAGACTAAAATAACCGAGAGAAAAGATTATATAGTTTCAAAGAAAGATTCGTGTACAAAAGAGCATAAAATAAAAGCCATTAGCAACAGCTCGCTAAAATTACGAGATAAAAATCCATGCCCACGTAACTCATTGTTGCTTTCTTCTAAAAAGAAACAAGAACAATAAGATTTCACCTCCGATAACCGACCTATTTCCACGTTTGAAATTAATGATTCTATACCTGCATTATGAACACAACCATTTCGCGGTTATGGAATGGACCATGTTTCAGAGGTTAAGTAAGAAAAATGTCACTGGATTATGCTTCTCTCTTCTTTTGCGGAATTAACGACGCATCAACGTCGTTAACAATTTACTTAAAACTTGTTATTAGTTTTGTTTTTATTAAACGGATTTCAATCATCGTAAATTTGATGATTCTTTCGAGAAATTGGATAATTTTCATTTTTTTTTTTTTCTTTCTTTTTTCTTTTTCGTAATAATAATATCTTGTACGAGATAACAACTGTAATTCTTCCAATTGAGCACTAAACTTTTAAAAGTATTAAATTTTACTTTTCAACGTTTCCTCGTCGATTCTTCTATTTCGAATTGGTGTCGAGCAATGAATTAAATTTCAACATTTTTTTCGAAGCTTGGAATAATATAATTGAATAAGATATTTAAAGTGGTCGAAAAAATATTAGTGGTTTTATTCGAAAAATCGAGTTGTTACGCATTGCTCGAATTTTCGTTGAAAACGGAGCTTAACGCGCGAAGAAAGGGAATTTCTTAGAACAATTTTCGAACGGTTTTCAAATCGTCCATTGAAAGCATCGTTAAAATTATCAGGATCGTGGAAACAGGAGTGAATGTTATCATGGTTCAGATCTTAAAGAGACGAAGGGTCGTTTTTGCCCCGTTTTCCACTTCGATATTTTGCTGAGTTGGCTTAATGCGTTTCGCATGAATCAGCTGATTTTTCGAACGGGCGATGATTTACGAAGCGACCGTTCGAAAATTGGTCAAACACGGTTCCACTCCTTGTATTCGAGATTCTATCTTCAAACTTTCCTTCCCTCTTTGAATTTTCTCCCGCGCGATATTGTAACACTATCTCGTATGAAAAATAGAAGAAAAAAAGAAAAAAATTGCAAGAAAATTTACTCCTAGTCTTCGAATTAAATTTTGCGATTTTCGTCGAACGAATGTTTGAACTAAAAAAAAAAAAAAATCTCATAAAGTTTTCAATCTATTA